ATTATACTGAAAAGCAAAACAATTCCAGAAATAGAAATAAGGCTCTGTACTTGAGCCAAAAACTCATTTCAGATGTTGCAGAAAGCAATAGCAATCCTCTCTGGAGCTCAAGTTGCATCTTAGAGTGTTATCTGTGACCTGCTATGTAACGGAATTAGGTAGAAAGAGATGATGACTAAAAGCGTACCATTACTATTCAGTTATAAACAAGAACAATGAATGGTACCTGCCCAGAATAGTCATGGCTTCACCTTCATCACAGCACTGTAACAACTTCTCCATGTTGGCATCAAGTATGGCCAGTGACACCTGCAAGATAAACTTGATTCCCTCATAGAAAAAACAGTCGACAATGACCACGGCACTCTCAAACGGCATGACACTGAGAAAGAGAGTGAGAAACCAGGAAAGGGATATGGTGGAAATCACTCCCAGATCCTGCATCTTTTCTGACAGCTGTGGAAGAGACTCTCGTGTAAGTTCTTCAAAGATGCCTTGGTCCACCAATGCACCTTCGAAAACAAACAAAACCAACAGTAGAACTCAAATTGGTGGTATCACCGTACTATACCCTGATGGTATCATGGTACTATATCCAAGCTAATTAATTATTAAACAAAATAGTGCCATTTCACTTTAATTTCATATAAGCGTCTTAATATCAGAACTAAAATTAACACATTTATTTAGATTTGTTCTCTGTTCTCAATAAAACCAACATATTTAGATAGAGACTGTTCCTATTGCAAAGGATGCAGAAACAGAATCTCTCACTGATCTGTGCATTCTCCATGAAAAGGAGGGTGGAGGATTGTTGTGGTATTTACATCAAACTATCCTCTTTTGTACAGACCAACTCTAAAGCCCATGAAACGGTGCTTTTCACTACCCTTTCCTGGGAGCCTATTCCAAAGATTTAATACATCATTCAGATGGGTAAAAAATAACCCATTACTTCTAGATATGCCTCCTTACTGCTAATGGTCCCTCCCGCTACCAATTTTTAGTGACTTCATCTTCCTTGTTACCACAAGGTAGTACTACTACCTTGGTAGCCTGTAGTGTCCCCTCCTACATCTCCATCACTGCAACTTTAAAGGGAATGGGGTTGTGCTTCATCATCTTTACAAGTAAATACCACATTTAATTCATTCTGAACAACAAAATGTTCCCAAGAGATGCTGGTGCAACTGTAGCTGAAAATCCAGGCTCTAGCATGAATGTGACAAAGACTCACCCACTACTCTTGTGTTGTAGTAATCTGGCAACATCCGCTCACATAAAGCCACTAGAAGCCAGAAAGCCTCTTCCTCGTTGCAGTATAGCAACAGTACTGATGTAACAATGTTCATGGCCTACGAGCCACCCGAGTTAAAAATGCAGATATAGGAGAGAAACATGAAGATGTTCATGAAAGCTCTGTCATTACAGACCAGCTAAACTTAAACATGAATATAGCAAAACTGTCACTGAGACTCATATCTAATTCCAGCTTTTACTGGTATCTGAGTCAATAGATGACCCTGAGCTAATTAACCTTTCTGTTTCAGTTCCTCTGTTTGTGAGGCAGCAAATAATACAACTACTTTTTGTCAAGCACTTTCATTAATCAATGTGACTCAGTAAAATTTTCCAAGTTTTCATAAAAAGCTTTGTAACAATTTCATTGTTAATAGAACACCATGATGAGAACCTCTAGTATCAGAGCAACACACAAAATGAACCCAAGTTGTTTCACAAACCAGCAACTGGCTTAGTTTTCAATATGCTGCCCATGTGCATCGTCACTTGTTTCATTAAAAAGAGCAATTAAATCAAATCAGAAGATGTTTTTGCTGAACTAGGGAAAGCTCTACCAGGAAAACTAGTAAAAGACTGTCATTAGATGTAACAGAAATACAGAAAGTATTTAAATGCTGTATCCAAAGGATAGTTAAGAGATCTACAACATCACCACTTCTTTCCTTTCACACCACTGCATGGACGGTATGAAGGAAATGCCTGAAACTGAACAAAAAGCTGCAGAAAAGGCCCAAGTCAGTCACGGTCATTGTGCAGGGCTAACAGGCCCAAGTCTTCTTTCTTACCTGACAGTACCCAATTGTTGGATTTCTGAATGCATAAGCTGTTAAGACTCTACGGAGGGCAGCAATTCCCAACTCATTCTGAAAGGCAGGATGTTCTGGCATAGAACGGTGCAGATCTCTCTCAATTTCCTCTGTAGCAAGGTTGTACTTTCCCATTGACTTTTCCACAAGATCTGCATAGTAACCAGGATGAGTCACCATCTCATTCCAAGCCCCTGTAACGACAAACAAACGCTGCTTCACCTCTTGAGCTTTGGAATACAGATTTTATGCTCAGTTTCAGAGAAGAGGCAGCCAGGAAGCACTACATGAACTCACCAACTATAAATAGATATGAAAGTATAGTAACAAACTCGTTGTTAAATCATCATGTTAGAGTCTAGATCCCAACACTGAAACGCACACAAAGGAGGCCAAAGAGCTACTACACTTATAAAGAAAGTCATCTCAGGAACATGATCACTGCATTTTTGGCCAAAAAAACATGAAGTGATATTCAGGTGGAGTTAACTTGCGATTAATTTCTGCTGAAATTAACTAAGATTTATTTATACCTTTTCCTTTGAGATGTGCAGAAAGCTTATTCCTGCTAGCCATCAAAGTATCCAGCGCAACCTCCTACCTGAAAAAAGGAGCCACAGCTCTCCACGAAGGTTCTCTGGGATTCCTTTTTGCACCAACTCCCTAGTCTTGGCAGTGCGATACATACACATCCCTCGCCCGTACTCAAAGAAGTGAATGTTCCAAGACTCTTCCTTCATCTTCTCCTTTGCCTTCACAGAAACAAACATGGACATTTTAGGAGATTAATGCACTTTTACATTTGTAGGACAGGTGATTTCTGGGTATACTCAGGCCTATACTTCACAAGAGAAATGCATTTTGACATTTAAAGCCTTTCTTTTTCCTGGTGAACGAAAGTGGGTGTGCTAATCTACATTGTTTTGAATCAGTTCTGACCTTCCTTAAAGTCAAGTCTTTACAACGCTAACATGAGCTGTGCAATGGCATTACACTTTGCAAATCTCTACATAAATGCAAGCATAACCATGGACTAAGACAATTAACTAGCAAGCAGAAATACCAGTTCTCTGCTTTCCTGATCTGAAGAAAAGTATAGAAGTGAATTAACATCCCAGAAGCACAGAAAGACTAATTTTTCAGTCTCTAGTCAAGTATCTCAGTACTGATAAAGTACGCTGACTGTCAGGTTACATCTCTGCAGCACCATCATTGTGACAGACACAGCAGTGATACTGCAGGACTGACCAGGAATAAAATGCCCTGTCGGTCTTAGAGCAAGACAGAAAATCTAAAACCTACTGCAAACTATTTATAGTTAATTGTTGTGAAGTTAAAATATTATTTACTCCTTTGGGTCCCAAGAGCTCTTCGGAACTTCTTCTGAAGAGTTTAAGCAGTCCCTGCGAGGCTGTTGGCACTTCCCCAGCACAGAAGTTGACAGGTCGATTGCTGAGAGCAGATGTGGGGCTAACTGCAAGTGGGCTGCTGGAAGGCAACTCTGGAACCTCCTGAACAACAGAACATAAAGCACCTCAGCTCAGGTAGCCCTGCAAACTGTCTAACAGAGACAGCATCTGCTGGTAACGGGCACTGTTAACACACTGTACGGAGCATTACTCTGAAAAGTTGACAAATGCTCCTCCCAGCTATCTCCTCAGTACCTCGCAACCAGCGTCAGCCAAATTCCACTTCCATTCCCTGTCACTGCCGCACGGTTTCTTGGATGGCGTTCTCTGCAAGAAGTCAGAGATTCTCTGTACCAAGAAATCTCGGTCTTTCAGATTGGCAAAGAAGAAGGTCATTTTACTTTTAGTGCTGATGGACAGAGGGCTGGGCAAGACACTGGAACTATCTGCTTTCTCAACTATTGTCACCTAGAAGACAAAGACAAGCGCCATTTGGATCTAGCAGATTCTCCATTATCTACAAAGCACCACACAAAAACTGGAAGCACGTAAAAGACAAAAAAGGCCTGTAGTCTTAACACACAGCTAAGAAATCCCCACCTCCCTCAGGGGAATGATGAGATGACAGGCCTCCTCTGCCTTGCTGGCAAAACAGATGTAATTGTTGGAAACAAACATCTGCCCAGGAATATGCATCTTGTTGAATGGCGTCCACAAGGTACAGTCTGTATGTCCATCCAGGCATTCGTCCTTGGGCAACCGGAAAGTGGCACGGTAGCACTCATTTTTGGCTCGAGCATCCAGGTCTCTAGGGGAAAGTAAAGAGTAGTCGCCAGAGGCTTTTTCTCACTTGAAAAACCCACTCAAACACTAATGTTAAATGCTCATTCCAATCACAATCTTCAGACTGTGCTGTGTATTCTTAGTATTAGTTTCTCTAACTGAGATGCCACCCCTTATCTGACTCCTCCTTCAGCCTTCAGACAACGCTTCACTGACAAGGTATGTCCTGCAATACAAAAGAAAAATGTGCAAGTGCATCTTTGAAACACGTTACATCAGATTCTCACACTGCAGAGAACCGTCCCCAGCGGGAGGATTTGTTACAATACGAAAGTATATTACTTTTTATAAATCTTCAACTTCTGAAGAAGGGCCCGATCTGATTTTCTTCTTTTTTTTAAAAAACAGCATTTTCAACAGTTGAAAATTCCTTCTGACAGTGCCTAGCCATGCATGAGAAAGACATGAGGGTGTGTGTGAATTCAGTACCAATTTGGGATGGGAAAAAAAAGAATAAGCAGAGGGCTTATGGTTGAAATAAGCAATGCAGCCCCTACAGGGAGAAAACCCCAGTGGCAGCTGGGAGCTGCACAGTAATGCAGACTTATTATTACAATCCTGTTATCCATCTTTTCACTGCTGGAAACATATACCTTTTTAATGCAGAGATGTTCTTAAGAGGTTTCCTGGGCTTCGGGAGGGACTTGTCCTGTAGGAAGCTCTCATTATCCAATAACTGCCGCATCGCAATGTTAGCCAACTGCTCCATCAGCTTGAATGTCTCATTGATGTTGAGAAACATGGAAAAATAAAGTTCACTGTCCCTTGTGCTTACTTTAATGCACTCAGGGAACAGCAGTGTAGCATTTTTTTCTAGCTGGGTTACATCCACCCACTGGATCACCAGTGTCACTAGGAAAAAAAATATAAAAAAATATTACAAAACCAGGCAAAACAACAAACAATAGAAATGAAGGTCAAGCAGTCACATGGACAATTCTTCTTACTTCTACTGAGTTCTCCAAAAATACTTGGAAATAATCTTTGGGATTAACTAGACTAGAAAAAAAGCAGTTCCAAAGGACTATCTCCCATCCAGTAAATGCTTTCAACTACAATTACTCAAGTTTTCATTCTTTCTTTCCAGCAAATTAGCTTTGGACTCAGGAGTTCAAGCTCCTGAGGTCCTGGCAGTGGTTCCAAATAAAACTCACCAAGGTAAAAATATTGTTTGGTTCTCTAATCCAGCTGAAGTAAAACTTAGATGGGCCTGTAGAACTTGAGAAATGTTTTGAAAAGTGACTCAGGCTTTCAGTCTAAACATCACTGCAGTGCCCATGAGTGCAAGGACTGATCTATGCGTTGAGCTAGAGCTCAAAGGATTCCTAAAAGGAAAAAACCTGTCAGCTTAAAAAAATGTTCACACAAAAGATCAATTGCATCAAAAAGAACATGGGAAATGGCAGAAAAACAACTAGCAGGCTTACAACTCACCCTCTTTGCCCAGAAGGAAGGAGTAGAAACAGAGGTGATTGACAGTGAGGTAGAGCCAACCCTGCCTGGGTACACGTCCCTTCCAATAGCTGCAAGAATAGTAATTGACCAACTTCTCCACCTCGGGCATCCCAAACTGCTTCCGCATCTTCAGTTCAGCCTCTTTGAATTTACCTGGATCCTCCTCACTCTGGGGCTGCTCATTCTTGTTCTCTTCAGCAATAATTCCCTGAAAGGACATGGGAGGAGAGAAGAAATGGAAGTGAATACGCCTGCTGACAGATGTGATATACAGAAAAAGGTCACAGCAGCAACCCAAAGACAGAAAGAAGACACATGACACAGCAGTTATCATTTCTCCTGTCACATTAGAGAAATAGTAAAGACACGTAGAAAGAGCAGTCAGATCATCTGGGATCTACTCAACACACAGAGCAAGCATTTGTGTTTAATGTTTGAGTGAGTTTCTCACGGCTGGCCTGGCAACACTTTGAATGCCCTGAAGAACTAAAATCTATTTTCACTTGCATATATGCTTCTTCAACAGGAAGATGATCATCAACTCCACAGTCTGTCACATCTTGATTGGCCAGAAGGAAAAACAAATGACCATGGTCTCTCTCAGACACACACACACAGAAAATACAAAGAATCTCACAGGAGTACTGGAAAAAACTTAAATTGCAGCTGTTCGATAAAAACTCTCTATTTTTAAGTTTCTACTCCACAGAATCTGTGGGCTGGGAATCTGAAAGGTATTAACTGCCCAACAAGCAGAGACGCCTGTTTGACTCAGAAGTCAGTGGAAGCTGGAATGCAGTTCCTTTACATCCCAGATGAAATGGCTTCTAGACCATCATGGCAGGGCAAGTACATTGCTTGCAAACTAGAATTTTCTCTCCCATATTTGTTGTTAGATGAAAGAGGGGAGATTTAGACTAGATATAAGGAAGAAATTTTTCACTCTGAGGGTGGTGAGGCACTGGAACAGGTTGCCCAGAGAAGCTGTGGCTGCCCCATCCCTGGAAGTGTTCATGGCCAGGCTGGATGAGGCTTTGGGCAACCTGATGTAGTGGAGGGTGACCCTGCCCATGGCAGGGGGGTTGGAACTAGATGATCTTTAAAGTCCCTTACAACTCGCATCATTCTATGAATCCTCGTTTAACATTCTCTATGCATCAAAGGTATAATCTGCACGGATTTCAGAGGGACATTACATCTTACTTAGCAGAAGCATCCTAAGAGGTCTGTTCCTTATGATCTACTTCTCATAAACGTCCCCCCCCCCAGGTACATTTGTCTAATATTAGGACTGTAACGTGATGCTGATAATACCGTATGCATTTCATGGCACATGTATGTCTGAAGAGGGAGCAGAGGGAAGTTTTGCAATGGAGCTCTTGCTCCCTCACTCCCAAGGGTAAAAAGTTCTTAAAACCACCTCGCCATTCCTTCTCAGGATCTAGAAGTCCTTCAGGAAAACATGTTGCTTACATGTATCTTGCCTTTGACAAAGGTGGTGATATCTTCTTCGTTATCAAAGATGGACAGAGTCTGTAGTAAGTTATTCTCCAGCCATTCCCAATGCTTTGTGATCTCTTTACGAGATGATCCTAATTGAAGGGGTGAAAGATGATAGGAAGAGCAAAGGAAAAAGAAATTAGAACAAGGTCTTTTTTCCTCCACATTCACAGCAGGAAACTAATAATTACCAAACAGTGATCGGGACGCATCGAACACATCATATCACCACACGTCAAGGATATTTTATGTACACCAACATTACGTTTCTAATGAAATGTCTCCATGCCACCAAGGATAACCAGCACACTGCCAACAGATCATCCTATTTGTCAATGCACACCAAACACAGCTTTCTTCCCAGACAAAAAGCATTCTTATGTTCCAGACAAGAAGTACTCTTTTAATTCCTGGCATTCTAGAATAAAAATAATGAACTTTCAGAAGAACCTTGACATTTCAGAACTGAAGTTTTTACACTTACAAAGAGGTTCCATTTTCCATGAGCAATGGTCAGTAGAGAGCATACAATTCCAAAACAAAAAGCAACCTAAATATTCATGTCTTTGCTTCCTTAAATAAAAACATCTCAGTAAAACTTATATCAGTTAGTTGTTTTCAACTGTACAGCCCACAGGAGTTCACAAAGGAGAAGTTGCACTGTGTAACCAATTTAAAGAACTTTTCTGTAGAAGTTGCCTTAGTTAGTTGACATTATTTCAAAGATTTGTGTTTACTAAAAGATTTCTTCCTCTCTGTCAACAGCTATCACTATATTCCCTTGTAAACAGAAAAAAAAATGTAGAAGAAATAAAAAAAGCAATTCAATTTTTTTTAACAAGATAAGAAACATCTTTAAATGGACAAAAAGAAATCTGTTTAAATACAAATCAAAGACACATCTAAGTTTCTCTTTGCCAAACTCCAGTAAATTTATCTTCTGAAGTTTCACCCAACAGCAGTGGGATATCTGAAAATGTTAACAGCATGCCTCCCGCTACGTGGTTTCTCTTCAAGTACATTAGACTCCTCGGTGTGTTTAAGGATGGAAAAAAGAAAGCAGCAGACAACACAAGCTGTTCCCTGAAGCTACTGCTCTACCTGACCTCCTTTTTTAAGAGGCAGCTTCAGCAGTGAAATAGTCCTCGGGTATTTGTAGCTGGACACCTAACCACAAAACCCAACGCCAGCTAATCTGTGGTTTCAGAAGCAAAAATAACTCCAGGACCTGACACCAAAAACTAGAAGCAAGTAAGTTGTCTTGTCTCAAAGGGCTGCAGGGCCACGAACCTGAGTTTGTGGGCACAGCCCAAGGGATCAGACAAATATTTTTTCTTTTGCCTTTGTGTATTTGTTTACTTCACATCGATCCTCGCCATCTGACAATGGGTTTAAAGCACAAGTGATTTTGAGTAATATGAAATGATCTATTTCAAGGGCACGGAATTACCAATTATGGCACGTTTTGGTTGCGGAAAAACCCCACCGTTTCAGCAACAATGGCGGGGGAATCAAGTTTGCATTCTGTTTTGCTCCATGAGCTGCATCTCTCACCAAGTGACAGCAGACACATTTTTATAATAAGCCAGGCCCCAATAATTGATGTATTTTAAGAACAACATTAGAATGACACACATGAAGGAGTAAAATTCTGCAATTCCCACACAGAGAGCTGTAATAACAAAGCGCTGAAAGGCCGAAGCTGCAAGTATGACCAGAACGTTGCCCACGAGTATTTACGCATGATAAATTGTAAATAAAATATAGGCATTTTCAACTAGAGAGCCATACATCTTTTATGACTTTAAGTGAATGACAATACTCTTACTTTGACAGTAAAATGAGAACCAGATATGATTAAAAAAATACTTTGGATTAACACATATATTTGCTCCAGTATAACAACTGATCAAACTCCATTCAGTTGGTATATAGCCCACCTCATTTTACCACGCTGTGTTGCTTACAAGTAACTGAGATACAGAGGATATCAACTAAACACTCCTGAAATTACACAAAATAACACTGAGTGGCAAGATACTACAAAATTTCGGATTTGCACTGCATGTGGCCACTAAATATTCTGCTTTTTTCTATGCAGTTTCTGGCCTGCTATTTTGGTTTCTGTCTTTCTTCCTCTCTCCTCAAAAGGGAAACTGAGTTTCTGTGAAACACAGCAACTTCTAACCCTCTCTTCTGCAGAATTTAAGTAGCTCTGCAAAGAAGAATGTTGAGTTGGTTGCCTGGGTAGAAGATGGGAACAGGGAAAACAAGACGTCAGCATCTGTGGGCTTAGCAAACGATTACTTCATGCTCAGACTTCACATCTCAACCACAAAGTGAGAAGTGAAGATTCTCACTGTAAACAAAGTTGGTCTAACGAATACGTCTGAAGGTATTTTCTCTTTAGCAACCACTAGGACCTAAGGCCTTAATCAGAGTTCACTGCCAGATGTTAGAAGGTTGTACCATGATATTCTAACACAACAGTTACATTTCTCAAGTAAAAGAGGCCAAAGATTCTTGACGGTTTAAAAAATATCATTGTAACATATTTCACAGGGATAGTATATCTGTTACAGGTCAGAAATAGCAGAAAAAAATAAATTTGATCGAGACAGTAAAGAAGAGTGTTTGGTATCTTCAACGACTGTACACGTACTCATCTTGCACCGCGTTCCTGGTAAGCAGGTTTTGGCACAACACTCACCATCCCACAGCCATCGCTGTTTTATTCTCTGAGCAATCTCACTATGACCTTACAAACAGATACACCTTGGAAGAAACAAAATTCGTAACATCTGCAGAAACGGGAGCTTTTACAGAGCCTTAAGTTCCTAAACCACAGTTTAAACAACACCGAGAAGCCTTGTCATGTCTGGCATCTTCCATTACCCTACCAGAAGCTCTAGGAAGTTTCCTGAGCAGTGACAAAACACTCCTATATGGGATAACTCATCATTTGAACCAAACAGACAACAGAGTAACCCAAATCCAACCCCTGACAAGAGTGACACCAACACATACCGCACGCCACTGCCCAATACACTTGAGAGTCCTGAGTCTGGTGCAGAATACGGTACGGGGCAACTCTGGCACTGGAATCCAAAACCACGTCTAATGTTCCCACAAGAAGACCTAGGAGGCAAAGAAAAGGAAATTAAACCAACACAATATCAAATCGAAGAACTGGGTTAAGTAAAAATTCAACGCCACAGAAAAACGCCGATGTTCATGCCACGTACGTTGTGATGGAAGTGCAACAGCACTTGGTTGAGAAAAAGAAGACATACATCCAGTGACTGCCAGCAAATTACCTATAAACCAACAACCGCCAATCCCACTGGTAATGGACAAAGGTTAGATGGCAATTAAACTAAATACTAAATCTCATTATAATCCTCCACTTTCCTAGGAGAGTTTTCTAATAAAAGCAAAATGTATTTTCCTCTGTGAGGTTTCTGTTGCTCATGGTGATTTTTAAGCCTGCTAAATTAAAATGCAGAAAAGTTTTCACTGCTGTATCTTTCAGTATCACCCAAGCAAACGGTAGGTAAGGTAACTCATACAAAATGGAATCAAATCGCTCTGGAAAAACTCATACTCGCAGGTTTCAGTGACATTTCAAAGAAAAAAGGCACAGAATCAAAATTCGGTCATAAAGAAGTTACAATATTTTTAAATGATATTAAATAAAAAAGCAGGCACTTCCAGAAAAAACGGTGACAGCCACCAGACTCTGTAAAGCAAACCCGCTTATTTCAATTAAGACTATTTGCTAGATAAATCAAATATCTAAGACAATACCTTGCTTTATTCTTCTAGATAATGTACTATGAGCATCTTTAATGCAAATTAATTTTGCAGCATCCTCATGATTAGAAGTTTTCTAACATCAGAAGATGCAGCATGGCTGCTCCTCTGATTGCGATTTGGGAGGCCTAGGCTCGTTTCCCTGCTTTCCTCCTTATGGTTTGGGTAAGCCTGAGCAAACTGTACTCATCTATCTCTCACTCATTATCACGAAACATGATACTTCCTCCCCTTTATCTCTTTTGGCTATCCAAAAGCAACTCATAGATTAGGAGTACACCACTGAGCATACTCCAAGAGAAGCGCTGTCCATCGAAAGCTCATCTGGTAATCCTCAAAACAAACATGTATGCATCCAGCAAAGCAGGATCCCACTTTTGGCACCAGGTTTCCTGTGTATAGTTTTATGCAGAATACAACGTAATTTTGAGTACTTCCTATAACAATATTGAACGTGTCACATTCGGACTGGTAACAAGACATGTTTAAGAACTTGAGCACAACAGCAACTTAAACACCTTTCCAGCTTGGCTGGACATCTACGTTCTAACTCTTAGTCAACTTGCAGTTTTACAGCTCCTTGAGGAGGACACGTGGCTTTTAACACTGAAGAAGACTCTCCCACTGAGGTAAACTAGCTCAAGAAGTGAAGCGGCTCAAAGGTTCAACCATTAAGAACAGATCAGATGTTTCTAGAATAGCACTAGGTGTCATTTCTTCTTGTAAAAACCTGGGAAATTCCAGAACACAATTACACGCCTACATGCAAAATTACACAAGTTATGTTACATGAAACAGAGTAATTCAAAATAATTTTAAATATCGTGAAAAGATGAAATATGCTAAGGATGTTTATCAGCTGCATCATTTCTGTAGTTAGCGTGTTCGGTTAACAGGGTTAATTCATGAAACCTGAACTAACAGGGTTAATTCATGAGTTAACTAATGAAAATAAAAGCACATTTTTATTATTATCATAACTGTGTAAGCATTTTGCACATAAACGAGGCATTTTAAAACGGAGAGATCATTTTTTTTGTTGTTGTGGTTAACATTGTGCCTCGGTCACAGTTATCTTATTTTCACAGTTTCTGTCCCCAAACACGGCTATTGGCCACACGCACACCGGGGTAGTTTCCACTGGGCTGCACCCACACAGCCTCCCCCCCGGCCCAAGCACGGCACAATCTCCACACAGATGTTAATTAAAAACTATGTCTTGCTTTCATCCTCTACATTTTGGAAAACTACACCCCAAAAAAAAAAAAAAAAAGATACACAAAGAAAACACCTCAGTAAATCCGAGTGTGACAAAGAACCCACTTCTGACAAGGGAACAGCCCCCCAGCCCCCCCCGGTGCAGCC